GACGGGCGGCAGTCTTAGGCTTGATCCTCTACTCTTCAGGTTCCCGAAACCCTCCTGGAGTCCAAGCACAAGAATTAGATTTTATGATACCACTAAACTCTCAAGGTAATGATAACTACATCCCGGGCGCTCACCATCCTACAGTTATCCAAACACACAATGTGTCTCAGCACCAGAGCACACGCAGCCCGGGAAAACCAGTGATGCCTTGTTCTTTTCGAATAGAAACTTAGCGTCTACTGGGCACCTACCAGGCCTTGTGAAGGCCCTGGGGGGTCCCAAGATAAGCACCATCCGGCCCCCATGTTCCAGGACGTCAGTCCGGCGAGGGACACAGGTGTCACTGGTGCACTGGTGAAGGAGGGGCTGCCTTCTACACACAGAGCGGCAGCGGCAGAGGAGGGTGAACACCCCGGACAGGCAACAGCACTCCAGGAAAGGGAACAAACACCTCCAGAGGGGCCACTCGGGGCACCTTCCACTATATTGCCCCCAAGTAGCAAGCCCATGGAACATGCACAGCCGAAAACAGAGACGTCCTCACATGGCTGTGACGGGATGACTTGGTCTGGAGCCCAGTGGGAGACAGCTGCCATGCAGGCAACCCAGGGCTCCAAGCGGCTTCCTTTTCCTTAGATGGATGATAAAAGTGATTCGATCCTATCAGCTGCAGTGGTAAGAAAAGGCCCTGTGAGTCTGCATTCTACTACTACATACTAGTATCTTTTTTCTAACCCTTTCTTAATGAAATTCCAAAAGGCAATACAGTTCATGAATCTAAAATTCCCTTTTCCTACACTGAAACTTTTTTTAACACCATTTTGATAAGTAGAGCTCTTAAGACACAGCAACTGCTTTGTAACAGAATAATAATAATGGCTAAAATTTATTGAACACTTACTAGGGGCTAATTATGGTTCCAAGCGCTCAGATTAACAACTGTCTTGTATGTGCCTTGTAACATAAAGCCAGCGCACCTGACAAGACATATATTAACAAAGCACTGTGAACAGAAATGAAAATAATTTTACATCTAGACACCCTGCATCAGTAGCTCCCCAGAACACGTTACATACCAAGGTATCTGGATTCGAGGGGCATTTCCAGCTCCCCACATTTCCAAACTCTTTCTACTCCGCTATCTGATGAAGTCATGCCGCAGATTCCTATCACTGGGTTTTACCACCCGGTCTCTCACCGGTTGCTATGACCTACTTCTACAAGACTGGAGAAAATAGATTCAGTATGACTTCTCGGCTTCCTGGCTGTGTGGTTTTGGCACGTTGTTGAATTTCTTTCAGCCACAGCTCTCCTGTCCGGCAAATGGGAATAGCAGTACCAACTTCACAGGGTTGCGTTCAGATGAAAGGAGCCTATGCAGCATCACTCCCGACGTGGGTCACTCTCGGCGCAGTGCCCAGCTCACAGTCGGTGCTCACAGTCTTGCCGCCCCGAGACTGAGGCGGGACTTCAGACAGCTGGACCAGTCTTCCTTTCATCTCCACCCCCACAGCCTCCTGCGTGAGCCAGCACCCACCGGACAACCTATCCAATGCTCTTCTCTCAAAATTCCCTACATTCTTCCGTTTCCAGTGAATTCAATCTCTACACAATGACCACTTCGATGACCCTGTTATTGCTGAGAGGTGCTCCACCTCTGAAATCTTAGTATCGTTCTTCAGGACCACAACCTCCTTATCTCGAAGCCCAGGGCCTCCAGTCCTCAGATGCCTCCATTCCTCCCAATCTCTCATCTCCCTCTGCTCCCCACCCTACTTGGAGTCCGTGGTCCCTCATGTTAGCAGCAGAGGAACCCCGTCTACACCTGCCTGCCCCCAGGACACCTGCCCCACCCATCATCACACCTGCCTGGCAAAACCCAAACCCCAACCCCTAAGCAAGCCTCGCCTTCTTCCCTCCTCCATTTGGGCCACGTGGAAATGGAAACTCAACTGGGGAGAGTCCTCCACCCACCTGCAGTTGGTCAATGCAAGCACCGGGTGCCTTCTGCACTTCCCCTTCCTCCCTCTGTAGGGGATGCAGTCACCTCCCCCATCCTCAGCAGCCCTGATCGGGTCCTCTTCTACGGCCCCCACTTCAGGAGTCTCCATTTCTCTCGTTTCTTCCCCAACCCTCACCATACGCAGAAACAAACTCATAAGCTTCACATTACTTAATCTAATCTTGGCTTAAAAGTTCATACAACCGAAGCTAAACCCTCAGGAACTGCAGATGAATATCCCCAAAGAAGTGAGAGGCTGTTCCCACAGGTGTGTTGGAAAGAGCAGCTCTGAGCCAGCCATCGTATCTTCGTAGAAAGATGTTAAATATTCACATACTAGTTGCCAGATTTTAAGCTAAGCCCGTTCGTATAATATTCCCACCATTGTAAAGCTGAGTTTATGTCTAAATCTGTTAAACAGGGCAAAGCAGCTTCCTGCACTTTTTAAGAAGGTCTCACTGTTGCTGGAGTGTGTGGCACGACCCTGGCTCCTGCAGCCTTGAACTCCTGGGCTCAATGGATTCTCAATGGATTCTCCCACCTCCACCTACCCAGGAGCTGCGACTACAGGTACTCGCCACCACATCTGGCTCCTGCACTATTAAAAGGTTTGTTTTAATAGTCCTAAAGACTGTAGACTTGTAATTTTAGAATTTAACGAGTATATTTGCTGAAATGTTTTTTACAGAAAACTGCTCACCTGGAGTTGTAATTTTGTCATAGGAGGTCGATTTCACCCATCAACTCTAGGAATACTTAACTCATGTCTAGATTATGATCTAATTAATTCAACCTGAACAAAAGGTAAGTAGAGATTTTATCAAAATTACTAACTGTAAACATTTTTCTTCCTTATAAAGTGAATGGTACACACGGCAGAATCACAGTTTGTTTCTATCTATAGTACCTGCCAGGCTTATTGAATAAACAAAAAATTATAACTCACCTCTATTAACAGCAAAAGGACCATTACAATTCTCCCACAGATGAACAAACAGAAAACAGGATCTCATTTGCTTAAGGAACAGCCAGAATTCATACTCAGATCTTTCTGAGTCAAAAATCCATCCTTCTGCTCATAAGTCTTTCAGATCCAGCTATGCTGGCAATGCCTAAGGAGTTTAAAAACAGAAAGCAAAAATGGGATGTCTTCCCTGGGGCCTGTATTCTGTTCTCTTAATTTGGGATGGATCTTGCCCAGGGTTGAGAACCACAGCATCATACCTGTCACATTCTAATGGATCACTCTGTCCTGTCAATGTAGGTTTAAAACAAAATGTGCTCAGCCTGGCATGGTGGCTCACACCTGTAATCCCAGAACTTTGGTAGGCCAAGGTGGGTGGATCACCTGAGATCAGGTGTTCGAGACCAGCCTGACCAACATGGAGAAACCTTATCTCTACTAGAAATACAAAATTAGCTGGGCGTGGTGGTGCATGCCTGTAGTCCCAGCTACTCGGGAGGCTGAGGCAGAAAAATCGCTTGAACCCAGGAGGTGGAGGTTGAGGTGAGCCAAGATGGCACCATTGCACTCCAGCCTGGGGGACAAGAGCAAAACTCCATCTTAAAAAAAAAAAAAAAAAAAAAAAAAAAAAACTTCCCACAGTCCTTTAAGTTGACAAACAGAAGTACAATCTCAAAGATCATCTTGTACCAAACATGGAAGCTTTGGGTGTCCTGTGGTGGAAGGACAGGTTATACAGCTCTAGCTTAGCCAGGCTGCCACACCACTGACATACAGAGCGGTGTTATTCCCGGGGTTTGGAGAAGGTGCAACAAAGCACCTGCCAATGCACAGATGCAGAGCAGAGGTGGGAATGACAGTGCGCACTGTGAGATGTGCAAAGCATGCTGAACCGGACGGGGCAGGCTGAAGGTGGGAGTATCAGGTAGATCCCTGAATAGCATAGAACTAAGAAGAAAATGGCATTAGAAGGAATGGCTCTTACTACCATGTTCAGGGTGCAAAGGTGTGACTGAAGGCAGGCAGACCAACCGGGAATATGATGCAATAAAACGGCTGGAAGATCATGAGAAGCCAATGGTACAGCAATCCCGAGAAGCAGCAAATCTCCAAGGGAATGCAGAGAAACACTCTGGATCAGGAGAGAAGCAGGTGGTACCAGACTCTTAACTGGGGAGACTGAGGGTCGAGCACAGTGACCACATCAGAGATTTGGGCAGCTGAGGCTTGGTAAACTCAGATTTCCCCATACTGAGTTCAATATTAAACTTATTTCTAAACTCAAATAATAACATCACATTTTTGTGTTGTTATTCTTGTTTTTGTTTTATTTAAGACATGGGGTCTCACTCTGTCACCCAGGCTGGAATACAGTGGCTCAGTCCTAGCTTACTGCAGTCTTGACTTGCTGGACTTAAGTGATCCTCCTGCCTCAGCCTTCTGAGGAGCTGGGACTACAGGGGCACACCACTGCACCTGGCTACGTTTCTTTATGAAGGCAAATTTTCTGAGAACAAAACATACTTCATTCACCTCCTTTGAGAGTGGAAGTAAGGAAAAAAATTTAAAACAGAACAAAAAAAAGCACACTTCACAACTTAGAAGAAATACCATAAATAGCAATTTTTAAAGTAACATAAGAATTATATGAAGAGCAAAATAAACCTAAATCTATTAATTGAGCAAATTACCTTTCAAGCCAACAATCCATTCAGCAAACATCAGAGTAGTTACTGAAAGCTTACAGTCATGAATCCTGAATTTTTAGGAAAGAATATCAGAAATCATTAGTCGCTCCTTCCCACTACACCCCAGATGCCAAAACCATCTCTGACGGGTTATCCAGACCCACGATACCCCAGCGATGGACTGGCCACTGCAGGGCAGGCAGCCCACACCATTCAGAAAAAGACATTTCCTCCCACAAGTTGGGTATTAATCAAATCCACCAATGATGTAAAACAATGCCAATATTCTTTAAAAGAAGCACAGCGACAGGGAGAAAAACAACAGACCACCACACTACAGCAGAAAGATATTTATAAATATTCTAACAGCTTTTATTACAATGGTGCAAGGAAGTATTTCATCCAACACTCACCGACAACAAACCATCATCTTCTATAAAACAGTTCCAGAAAGTTCAAACAAAAAAAACTAAAACATACAAGATCTGTAGTAATTCTCATACAATACTGTTTAGTGTTCAAACTTCATGTCACTCCAATAAAGTATAATCATTTTCTAGCAAACATGTGGCAAAAAAGTTTGCTGTTTTATTTGTTTGCCTATAAACATATCAGAACATGCCTCACAATTAAAAACTCTGGATCACAGCACTCCATGACATCAATATCTATTCGTGCTTAGTATCAGCCAGTTGGTACCAAATACCATAAAATACAAAATGATAGGAAATATAAACATCGATTTGTATTTCAAGTTTAAACATTTTATTTACAAAAATAGGCTGGGAGGAAAAGGGTGTGCACCCCACATTCCCTCCCGGGGCAGAATGATTTTGCGCCATTTTCTAATGTTGTTTTCTCTAACGATTTTCAAAGTCACATTTGGATTCCTTCAGAATTGTATTTGTCAGCTAGCAGCTCGGAAGAGGAGGAGGAGGAGGGAGAGCGAGGGAGAGGAGGGCGGGTGAGGGAGGAGGCTGGCAGACAGCGGTCGCACACGGATAATGGCTTTTACTGAAGGGCCCGCGGCGCGCCTCATGCACCGGCAATGCAAGCACGCTGCTGGGCAGCAACACCGACGTCGCTATTTACAGAACGGCGGCCTTCTCTGGGTTCTGAAGGACACTTGTTCCCCAACGTGACACCATTGAACGACGCTTTCAGGCAGACACTAGGACATGACTCCGAAGACGGGGTTGTGGCGGCAGATGCTGGGCCCGTACTCTTCATAGTCCTTCTTGGTGTGGCAGACCTGAAAGAACTCGGGCTACGAGAGGCAGCAGGCGGACAGAAAGACACACATTTCAGAAGAAAGTCAAGCACCAAGCAGGCAAGACACTCTCCTCATCCCGGCCTCCACCCTCCCTCACGGGACCACTGCTGCGAGGTTTTACCTCTCTGATGTACTGAACTACTAAATGGGGGCATTTTAATTTTTAGAAATTTCATCAGCCTCTATCTTCTCAGGACCAACCAAATGCTGGTCCCCCACTAACAACGTGTGATATTGTGTAAGCTGTTCACAGACCCCCCACCACCAACGTGTGAGCTGTTCACAGATATGAGGGGAAAAGTAAGAATTATTTGGAAAAGTCACTGAAATTAATGATTAATGCAGGATTTGTTTTGATTATTTTTGGATTCCACTTACCATGTTATCTGTAACCCCTAATTAGCAAGGATAAGTGATAAATGTGTTGTGTGATTATTAAGACCATAGTTTATATTGCGCTAGGCGCAGAGGCTCAGGCCTGTAATCCCAGCACTTTGCAAGGCTAAGCGGGGCGGGGTGGATCACCTGAGGTTAAGAGTTCGAGACCAGCCTGGCCAACATGGCGAAACCCCATCTCTACTAAAAATATAACCAAAAAAAATTAGCCAGGCGTGGTGGTGAACACCTGTGGTACCAGCTACTGAGGACGCAGAGGCAGGAGAACTGCTTAAACCTGGGAGGCAGAGGTTGCAGTGCGTTGAGATCGCACCACTAAACTCCAGCCTGGGTGACAGAGTAAAACCCCATCTCAAAAAAAAAAAAAAAAAAAAAAAAAGATATAATTTATATTTTACAGAATTGTCTGTTTAGAGCCACACGATTAGGGCACACACTATTTCACCTTCATAGACGATATTTACCCAAACTCAACAGAGAGCACAGGGATGGAAACACAGAGCCCGAGAGAGGGACTTACAGTCGAGGCCAGCATGGAGCCTCCGAACCACACGGCATAGCGCTGCATGTGATGAGTGACCACCTGGACCTCCACAGGCTTTGGCTGGAAGAGAAAGCAGCTCTCACTTACTCCACACGCACAGACACATCTGTGATCCAATCATCCCCCAACTGATGAGACCACGGCTTCACCCGGAGCCGCCCTCCTCTTACTGCCACAAGCACAACCTCACACCCAGCACTCAGTGACTCTGCCCCTGCTGCCAAATCCCCCCTAAGACCCACCACAATCCCAGCCCCCAGGGCTCAAAGGAACACAGTGCGCCCGGCAAGAACCTGCCTCTCACAAGGCTGAAAGCATTAAAGCACAAAAGCACAAAATCCAAACAATTAACCGCACTGCTTTTTTTTGACCAAACATATCAGATGTTCTGGCACTGCAGAGATCATCCCAAATAAGATTAACCATCCCCAAAATACTAAAAGAAACTGTGCTTTTCCGGCTGGGTGAGGTGGCTCCTGCTTGTAATCCCAGCACTTTGGGAGGCCAATGCAGGCAGATCACGAGGTCAGGTGATGGAGACCATCCTGGCTAACACAGTGAAACCCCATCTCTACTAAAAATACAAAACATTAGCCAGGTGTGGTGGCAGGCACACCTTTAGTCCCAGCTACTCAGGAGGCTGAGGCAGGAGAATGGTGTGAACCTGGGAGGCGGAGCTTGCGGTGAGCCAAGATCTCGACACTGCACTCCAGCCTGGGCGGCAGAGCAAGACTCTGTCTCCAAAAAAGAAAAGAAAAGAAAAAGAAACTGTGCTTTTCCAACAGTGGACTCGTGCGCGCTCTTCCTTGCACCCACTGCCACTATCGAAGCCCACTCTTGGTTAGAAGCCCACAGTGATCACCAGCTACTTAAGAATTACTATCTTGGAGAAACGCCTTGTAACTCCCTGCTAACATTAGTTACTTTCATTTAGTGAGAACATTTCTGAAGGATATGAGAGATCCTCACCGTAAATCAGTCCCATCTCCTTGGGACACTGGTCATTACACCCCATGCCTGATCTCTACAACACAAAAGGAAACTGCTGGCAGGTATGGTCAGTGAGAGTGTGAAGCTGTCACTGCTGTGTCATCAGGACCATCGGTCTGAACCACCAGCCTGGAAGGACCTCAGGCAGCAAACCTCCGCGGTCATGTCAAAACGCAGCTCAGAAAGCGAGGCACACTTGTTTTGATTTCACGTGGCCCAGACAAGCTCCTTCGGCTCTGTGTCAGGAGGGCCCGAGTCAGGCCTGGCGCAGAAGCCCCAGGCACCACGTGGAGGCCCCTGGCTCCTACCTTGATCCTCCCGCCGCTGAGCTCCTCGCTGAGCCTCAGCCTAGCATCCACCACTCTCTTCAAATCCCTCTGTAGTCGGCGTCCGAAATCCCTGAACATGGTGGAGCCTCCCGAGAGAACGACATTCTACAAGACACAAAGCAGAGGGAGCCTTGGGTGAAATCGCCCGCCCATAGTTCTGGGAACCACCCACAACAGAATTCCCACAGGTCGAATCACTTGTGGGCATGACACACCTGCCCTATGAAAGACGTGAACAGAAGCAAACTTAACGCTATTGGAAAAGTGTAGATCAATGTGCCACAGATGGCTCCTTAATCCTTTCCTCAGTTACAGCAAAGCAAAAACAAGGCGATTCTCATCCCCCCCCCACCCCCCGCCAACCCCTCACATAGACCAGGAAGCCAAAACCAATAACAGAAACCGTCCAGCTGACTTGAGCCAAAACAACACTGGCTCTCCCGCGGCTCCGCCTTAACCATCACCGGGGGAACCTCTTCTAATGGGTGCTTGGAGCTTCTCAGAAGGACGATCTTGGGAAGAAAGCATCTGAGTTACCAGAAGGAACATTCTCAGACGAGCCACCCAGCCAGCACTGCCCTCCAGTGCCAAGACTCGCTCGGTGGCCACCCCGGAAGCTCGGTGGGGGGCAGAGGAAGGGGAAGCACTCGCCTGTCCCGCTCCGCCTGCCCAGAACCTGAACCAGCCCTCTGTCAGCAGCCCTCTGTTCAGCATCTCCGCATTGTCACCCTGCCTGCCTGTCAGTCATCCACACCGTCTGCTCCTGACCTGCAGCCACTGACATCCTCATGGCTTGGCGGCCCAGGTCACCCAAGCAGCCAGTCCTCTTCTGGTGTATGTCAGAGGCTGCAGTGGCCTAACCTACATCACTCACCTCTCGCTTCTCACCACAGGGCACTGCATCATCTCACGTCCTCACAAGACGAGGAAGAGTGATATTTTTAGACAGAGAGACCACATTTATGTAACTTTTCCTACAGTATATTGTTACAATAATTATTCTATTAGTTACTGCTGTTCAGAAGTCTCTTATTGAGCCTAATTTCTAAATAAACTTTATCATAGGTATGTATGTACAAGAAAAAACACAGTATATATAGGATTTGGTACTATCTGCAGTTTCAGGCACCCACTGAGGTCTTCAATCATATCCCCCACTGGCAAGGGGGACCAGTGTATCTCCTGGTTGCACTTTCTTAGAGAAAATACCTTATGTGAAAACTACACAAGGAAATTAATCCTTCAAGCAGTCAAAAAGCCCTATTTCCTTTAATCCTCTAAATATGTTAGCTCTTCCTGAGTTCCTGAGCAACTGCAGAGCTGTCTTTCAGGAACTCCTCCCAGTCAGCTCTGGGTGCGTGAACAGTGAGTCCCTCACCAAGTTTACAGGTATGCAGAAGTCACAAGGAATCAGTACAGGAAAAAAAAAAAAAATGCACTTTTCTGTCCCTAGCAACCCAGGTTCTAAGTTATATGATATGAGAGTAGTCCGTTCCTGCTTACTGCTGTTCTGGGGAAAGACAGCCAGCACTGAGTGCAAAGGGATCATTTTTCTCTCGTGCCAACTCCTAGAACTGCTGTGATAGCACCCACGTGGACTCAGGATTAGATAGTGAAGTCAGAGCAGGACGAATGAAAGGGGGCAGAAGCCATGGGAAGCCACCAGTGATCTGGCCTTCCACCTGGAGAAGTGACCAGTGATCTGGCCTTCCACCTGGAGATGCTGGTCTTCCACCTGGAGAAGTGACCAGTGATCTGGCCTTCCACCTGGGAGTGCCACCAGTGACCTGGTCTTCTACCTGGAGAAGCCACGAGGGATCTGGCCTTCTACCTGGAGAAGCCACCAATGACCTCGTCTTCCACCTGGGTTCTGCTCCAATTCCACCCTGAGTGTCTGTAGAGAGAAATTTCACCTCCAGTTACCTGCCAGCAGCAGATGTTTGATAAATCACCTAACATGCTGTAGCTGCTCCAGTCGCTAAGGCGAAAGGCTGTCAGGAGCTGAAGGAGCCATGTCCAGCCCTTTCAATGCAACAATGGTTTTGCTCATCCGTGGTGGCAAATACCAAAAACATGATGCACAGGACCTTTTTCTTCACTCGTCAGCTATTAGTGTTAGTGTATTCTATGTGTGGCCCAAGAGTTTCTTCTTCTTCTGATGTGGCCCAGGGACGCCAAAAGGTTGGACACCCCTGGGCTAAAGCTTCTGCAGTGGCTTGGCCAGGGACAGAGCCTCACAAAACTGTGATCTCATAAAACTGTGCCACAATATTTTGTTATCAGCTTCGAGAAGGTCAAGGCTATTATGTTGTTAAGGGAGGATCTGGGCTTGGCCTTCAGGGCCAGGAACTGGGGTGGTCCTGAGGCCACCCTTCCAGGACTCTGCAGCGGTGAGAGATCCCCTGGAGCCCACACTGTACCCCATTCCTTGGTGTCTACCCCACATTTCTACTCACAGGGAACAGCCCTGAACACTGCAGACACTCTAAGGGGTACCCATGCCTTACGGAGACGACCTGATCATGAACACACTGAATAAAATACCTGGCAATGGTTTTCTGCCCCGGGAACTCTGCAGTCTGTCCTCATCTGGGGGTTTCACTGCTACACACTTCTTTGCTTTCTTAAAACTCTGTGGGCGTGGCCAACCGAGGAAACCGCCGTCACATCCATTTCTCGAGAGGCAACCCCAACGCCCCTCGCCACAGGGAGACCACGAGGTCACTGGGCACCTGCCTTCTTGACCCATTTTCAGTCTAGTTTTCAAGCCAACATCCTGTCCCAGGATCAGCATGATGAATAATCACTGTTGTCCTCTGTCACCCTGTGGAGAAATCTCTCGTGACCAACCTGAGAGCACCTGGCTCCTGTCAGAGTCTAGGGACCATCAACCACAGCTGCAGCTATGGAAACACCAAACTCAGGGGAGCCCCTGGTTACCAACGCTCAGGTAAGATGTCACCAAAAGGGGAGGACTGGCAGGAACAAGTCCCTGACAGACGGGGTGGCAGCTTGAAATCACATAAACAGGGTTATATTCTGATCCCTGGCTTCCTTCAGACGGGTCTCCTGGCCTGGTTGCTCTTTCAGACACACTGCATTCCTTGTTGCCATAATATCAAGAATCATAACTTAGAAGCATTCTTGATATTTTGATCATCTCATCTTGGAATAAGCCTCAGCTGATCCCTGGTCCTGCTCTCTTATGACTGGCCACGCTCGCCGATGATTTCCTGGAGAGACAGACCCTGACTTATATCCAATTAAGAATTAAGTGAGGACTGAGGAAGAACAAGGATGGGTCAGTGCTTGGAATTAGACATTTCTAAGGGTGCTTTTGCTGAGTTTTTGTGATTTGTTTTTTTGTTCTTTTGCTATTGTTTTTCACTTACTGTTTTGTTTTTTGTTTTTGTTTTGTGTGGTTTTTTTTTTTGAGATGGAGTCTCACTCTGTCACCCAGGCTGGAGTGCAATGACGCGATCTCGGCTCACTGCAAGCTCCGCCGCCCGGGTTCACACCATTCTCCTGCCTCAGTCTCCTGAGTAGCTGGGACTACAGGCGCCCACCACCCACGCTTGGCTAATTTTTTTGTATTTTTAGTAGAAACAGGGTTTCACCATGTTAGCCAGGATGTCATTTACTTTTTTAAAGCCCACTGCAGACAACTCCTTTAAAACTTCTCCAGGCTAAGATTCCTACAGCCTTGCTCTCTGTCAGGGAATGCTGCAGCCTTGGAAACAGTTCCTTGGGATACTGTCAGGCGATCCCAAACAGTGTCCCAAGGAAGCCCGGGCTGCCTGAGAGCTTTCTCTTGGCCCACCCCAGTGAGGAGAGGGGCCATGGGGCCAGGTTTCTTGACTGTCACCCTGGACTTGGTGAGCTTATCCTTCCCTCAGACAACTGTCGAAGACACGGGTCCGCTTCTCACTGTAACACCCAATGGCCGACACAGCACCGTGGGCACACCTGCTGCCTCATCTCCAAATTCTGGGCCATTGTTATTTTGAAGGATAATCTGAGGGATACACAGTCCGTTCACACCTCTAAGTCTTCTAAATTCTATCACTGGATCCAAAAGTCCCAGGGGAATGCTCCCTGTCTGCTTGGCGTTCTTTCATTATTCACCCACAAGACTGTTTCCCCTCTGAACTTCACCGCGAGCCATTAGAAGACCCAGCAGGAAGAAATCCATGTCATTATCCACTGTAGGGATGGGTGGAGGACATATTCTTAGTGAGGGTCTAAAGAAGAAATTTCTCTCAGATCTCAAGTGTCAGAAAAAGCTGGGCCTCTTAGGAAAACCCATTGGCCTTAATCATGTGTCCCCTGTGCCTGCCATTACAGACTGGGTTCCCATCTTTTCCCAGCTGCTGAGAAGCTGAGAGCCACGAGGGGCCTCTCCCGTAGCTCGGCACGACCACAGAACGGTGCACATGGGCTCTGTCTCGCCCCACCCTGCTGCATTATTCTGCCACCCTCACTTCTCCTCACCCAGATTCCTTCAGCTACTCCATCCTTGTATATTGGATATACTTTCCTGCCTGCTTCAAATTTCCCACACTAGAAGGCAAGCAGGCAGGAGGGGGCAGGGGTGTGGGCTTGCATGATCTTCAGGCAAAAGACAGTTAATCATTCCCTAAGTTTATGAAAGGATGCTGGGTCCTCATTCTGAATTCCTTTCTTCCTTCAGTAAATGAAGGACAAACCTCAACAGCCTAAATGTCCCTGTGATCAGCAGCAAACATCCCACTGCATTCAGCAGGCAGTTACTGCATTAAAGACAATGAGCTACAAACACAAAGAAAACATCACAGTGAGCCCTACGGAGCGGACTGCAGCCCGGGCGCCGGGGTTCACCGTGGACTGCAGCCCGGGCGCCGGGGCTCACTGTGAGGCTTGAAGAAGATGCCTCAACCTCCCAAACCTAGAGATGCCTAAAAGTTCAGAAATGTAAACAGGGAACTTTAAAACACATACTTTTTCATTCTGAGGATCTGCATCTTCATAACAATCGTGAATGTTTTCAATGCTTCATTTCAGTTTTGTCTTCTAAAAAGCAATTCTATTTGTTTCTTACATTAAAAATAAATAAATAAAACAAAAAT